CCGCTAATCTCGCGATAGTTACGTTCGGTAATCTCGGGACCGACGGTTACGCCCGACAATCACGCCGCAGACAGTTGCTCACATCGGCCCTTGCCAAGCTCCCCGGTAGGTCGGACCTGGGCCAGGTTCACCTCGGCCCTCATACTTAGCATTCCTCGGCGTTGGTGGCGGCCATCTCGGCCATCCGAGTTGGGCATGACTCATGAGCCATCTTGGAGCACCAATAGGGGTCCTCCACGTGTCCAGGGTATTCCCTTCAACAATTGCGAAATGAGTAATCGAACCATCAACTTTCGAGATGATATTAAAGTGACTTGTCCACTTGAACTATGCTCCGATTAAAATTTACTATTTTTTTTTCCAAAATTTATATTTACCAAATTGATTGCATAGAGAAAAATGCGGAAATTGTCTGAATGGACTAAAAAGTCTACCAAAACCAAACCAAACTAATTGAAATATTTTCAATACTAAATTAAGTAAAGTCAAATTGATGGATGCTAATTGGTCAAACTTATGGAACCAACTCAACGTGATTGATTTCACAAATTTCTCTGTTTATTTAAGGATTAAAAAAAACAAATCAATAATATAATTGTGACATATAAATAATATTGATTTAAAAACTATGTTAACTTCTACATTTTTGGTTTTTTTTTTCAAAACAATTATTCTAGGACCAAAATGATCATTTTCATTTCAAACGTATAATGACTAAAATGAACCAAAGTTAAAAATATTTAGATGAAATCGGATCAATATTTAAAAGAAAAAAGTATTTAATCCAAATAATATTTATATTGCTTAATTAATAAAATAAAAGAAGCTATGTATGTTGGAAAAGGGAGATGACAAGGAAAATAATTAAAAAGGAAAAAGTGACGTCAACTCTTTGACCTAATTTATTTAATGAATCTTGTTGCTTTCAAAAAGCATAAATACATACATTGTCGATCCGTCTCCTTTTTGGAGAATTATAATAATAGAATGAATCTCATGCTTATATTAAATTTTAGAATCTAAGATTTCATTCTTAGAACATAGAACATTGAAGATTGTGTCTACTTTTGTCTTTTGAATTATAAAATCTTTTAGTCACAAATTTATATTTCTATTTTACATGATTTTAACTTTCATTAAAATCATTCGAATGAGTATTGCGACGAATATCCTTTCAGAGTTAGTTTATAACTGTGAAGCTTCATCTGCGTTTATGATGTGATATTTTTGAAAAGGGAAAAAATTAAATTCATGAATTGTCCTTAATCCGACCAATAAAATTTTAAAGAAATGCCCAAACTCAATTACGAAAAGACTTAAATCTAGCCTCAAGATCCAATATTTTTTTAGCGTTATAAATGTTGTGAGGGATTCAAATCTTTTATTTATAGGTTAATTTCCTTGCTAGTTTGAATTATGGAGGCCTCACATATCAGTTAGGTGTCGTACTTCAATGGAATCACGAGGTTCAATTTAGTGTAAAAAGTAAATAAAAACAAGGGTAAAATTAAAAACTTTCTCTAAGATTTTTTAATCATGACAAATTAATTGGAAGTCCTCATTCGATCCGATAAACACCCTAAATCATAAATCCTAAACCAAAATTGGTATAGGGTGACCAAATTTTACATTTACGTGATGGGAAAACATCTTGAAAATCTTATTTATTTATTTATTTTAAATCACGTGGAATGGATTTGAAAGGAATGGTGTAAAATTTGGGATGAAAAATGGAGGTGGAATTGTGTAGTGAGGGGGTGGGCGGTGAGATTATCAACGCCCACGTGGAGATATTTTTATGAGTTTTTTGGTGGGTTAGATGCGGGCCCCACGGTGGAAGAGAGTGGAAAATTATTAAAAAAAGAAAAAAAAAAAAGCTGTCACATGCAAACAAACCCAGCTTCTCACGGTGCAGGGCCCACCTTCCCCACACTATTCTCATTCACGCGCCCCCAAGGCGCGTGCTCTTCACTTCTCCAGAGAGATATGGGACCCACATTTATATATCCCTTTTTTAAAAAAAATCTCATTTCTTTTTTTTTTGTTGGGACAATATTTGAATGCAACCAGGATTTGAAATGTTAACGTGATGAAAATGTTGGTGGTCAATTTGGAAATATTCATAAGTATTTTGGTAAATGTTATAAAAATAAAAAATATTTAAATTACCATAGGAATATTTCATCATTTACATATAAAAATTAATAATATTAGCGACATTTTGTTATTATTTTCATATATTTTATTGATTTTTTTACGATTCTATAAAAATGTTGAACTCGGACACATATAAAAATATTGATAAAAATGTCAACATATCGACCTTTCACGCTAATATTTTATTAGGCATGACAGTTTTTTTTTGTTTGCAGCACTCTCTTTATTCTATGGTATTAAATATTTATTGACATGTAAAAATTTTCATTGATATTTTCATGTATCTATAAATTAAAATATACTCAAATCATAGGGACAAAGTTTGCGATTTAACCTATTTTATAATTCTACATTTATCATTATATTTGTAAACATCATCAACCTAATTACACTCCTAATTAATTTAGTATATAATGAGACCCATTGGATAAATTTTACGAGAATTTACACAATGAGATAAATTAATTGATATGTACATTAATATCTGGACAACTATTTTTTTTTTTGAATAAAAATATCTGGATAACTATTGAATTTAAACACAGTCCAAAATGAATTATGTAATTAAAATTTTTAAACCAACCTAAGTATGGATAAACATTGTTAAGACATGTATTTGTTATCAAACGGTCTGAGGTTTAAATCTCTATCTCACACATAGTTGAACTAATTAAAAAAATTTTAATTTTAAGAAGCATGAAACTAAATTGAGTATTATATGCCAATCTCTTATTCGAAAAGCTCAGGGATGATCTGCATAGGGCAAACTGTAAGTAAAACAACTCGGACTCAATAGTAAGTTTGAGGAGAATTTCAACACCTGGTATGAAAATGGAAGAATTACTAATTCTTAAGGTAGGTGGCTATTTGAACTCATTTCTTCTTAATTAATCTTAGTCTCTTTAAACTAATAAGTCACCCAGGATGATTCAATCATAATCTGCTATTTGCTATTAAGAATTGATTGATGTCAGAAGAAAAAAAAACTCAATCTAAACAAAATAAATCAACATCATACTAATCATTTCAAGAGGTTAGCTTATTTTGTAGACAGTCAATTTCGAAAAAGAAAAATAAAGCACATAAAAACAATACAAATTAGAGATTTATATGGAGCACAAACCCATGTTAAGAAGTAATAATAAAATTGAAAAGGTAAATATTTTAATTAATTGTAGATATATTTTAAGAGCTATCAATCAATATTAACATGTGGACTATAAATTAATATATAGTTTTCAATTTAAGGAGATGATATGCACTTTTTAAAAACATAGGGATTAAATAAGCACGAATACAAAATACAAGGATAAACACATCTAAAAGTTATTCCATTTTAAATATCAACTTTACAAATGCTTAATATTATTTGTGCACTTTTAGATTTATTTCATTTCTGTCTATAAAATTTTGAAATATTTATTTTAGTTATTGAAAAAAAAAATAAATTAACCATTTGTTGTCATTCTATTTTATTTAATTTTTTACTTTTTTGCTTTAAAAATATTTTGTCGAAGAGATGACTTCAAACATATATCGAATTCATGTAGACTTGTTACACTACTAAGTGAGGTAAAAATCGATAAAAAAATATGACATAATTGATCACTATATTTTTAGAAATGACTATTTAATCACTATCTTTCATATATACAGTGATTGAATCCCTGTAATAATTTAACATTTGTAACAATTTAATATCGGAATGTTAGTATGCAATAATTTACTCTTCGTGGTTTAAAATCCGTAACAGTTTAATCCTCACCATACAAAATTTCATCAAGTATTAGCACAAATGGTCTAAAAATATATTTCATTATCGAATAATTTATAGATAAAAACTTCATTACACCTTAAAAAAACTTCGGTTCTGAACTTTGTACTTTTAAAAAGTAACCATCTCACATAAATTTTTTAACAATAAAAATTATTTAATATAAATTTATGACTATATTCTAGGAAAATGAGTCGAGAACCACTAAAATTTTTAAACTTTGAGAACTAAAAAATAAAAAAAAAAGAGATGGTTACATGCAAACTAACACTTTTGGAATGGAAATTGAAACTGAAATTTGATAGTTGGGTGCTGGTTGCTCATGCGAATCTCATAATTAGCAAGTGTAAGAGGACAATTCACATACAAGTTTTTCAACCCACGCGCTTCGGAAGCGCGTGTCTCTAACGAAACAAGCATTTCAAAGAAAACCATGGCAGAATTTTGAGAGTGTATTATCCAAAAAAAAGGCGCTTTCTTTCTCTGTTGAGAGTTTTTTTTGTTTGCCTCTCAATTTCTCAAACTCAGTCCCCTCCAAGGCGAAATCCATCACCACCACTCGATATAAACTCACAAGAGAGAGAAACTCTGATACAATGAGAGAGAGGAGAGAGATTTTTTTGCCCTAGAAAAATGAATCCTGATAAGGACTTGTGCTCTGCGATTCCGTATTCAATTGAATTATTATCTTGTGGGTTTTAGTAGTAATTGCTTCTTCAACCGCACCAGACGAAACCCACCTTCGATTTCCCCTGCTGCATTTTGATTTGATTTGATTTGATTTTCCCTCTCCTTCTAATGTAATTTCTTCAGTTGGGTTTCATTTTTCTCTTCGGCTTTGAGAGTGTGTGATTGGGTTTTCAAGGGATTTGTTCTACTCTTTTTCTTGACTCTGCTCTCATAATTGTTAGTTTGACTCTTGCTCTTCCCCCATTTTCTTGTTCTTCTTTGCATGTTCTGGATAGTGAAATGGAAGTGAAGGGAGGGCTGAGTTCGTTCTCGATGTGGGTGTTTTGTGTTTGAATAAATGTCTGTTTGATTTTTTTTTTTCCTCACTCTCTCTTTTCCACCCTTTTTCTCTTTAGCATTTCTCAGAGTTTGTGGGATTTGGGTTTCTTTTTTTGCTTCTTTTTCTCCCCCTTTCTGGTTTCTGGGAGTTGAACTTTCAGCCCTTTTTTTCTCTTTCACGATTTGAAGTTTGTTCCTGAAAAGATGCTTGGTGTTCAAGGTTTTTGATAACGTGCTGTGGTGGTTGTGGACGGGTTTTTAGTTCCTCTGTCTCCTTATCTTCAACCTCAAGCCTTTTTCTTCCTTTTCCTCTTTTGTGTCCTTTTTTTGTTCTCTAAATCAAACCCCCTTTTACACTTTTTTGCTGTGATTCTCTGTTTCTCTTCCCCTTTTAGTTCTCTCAAGAAATTCATGGTAGTTTGAGGTGTGAGTTCTGACCTTGGCAGAAATTTACCCTTCCCTTCCCTGTTCTTATTATCCTTCTTCTTCTTCTTCCCTTTAGAATCTTAAGGCTATACCGAACTGGATTTCATGGATCGGAGGGATCCGATGGCGTTATCGGGTTCGCAATCTTTCTATATGCAGAGGGGAATCACTGGCTCTGGCTCTGGAGCTCAGGGCCTGCGTTCCTCAACTAACCCAAATGTGGCATTTCAGACCAACACTGGAGGAAACAATGTTGGATCAGGGTTACCAATGGATCCCAACCCTGCCATTTCACCTTACGGTGGCAATGTGGGTGCTCAATCTGGTGGCGTCGTTACGACCGAGCCCATGAAGCGGAAGCGTGGTCGGCCTCGCAAGTATGGGACCGAAGGGACTGTCTCTTTGGCACTCTCTCCCTCCCCTGCCTCTGCAAATCCAGCAACTGCAGCTTCATCCCCGAAGCGAGGAAGGGGGCGGCCTCCCGGCTCGGGAAAGAAGCAGCAATTGGCTTCTCTTGGTAAGCTTCTATCACAGATTTCTTTGTACTGTTCAACTGATTGATTGGCTCTATTAGTATACTCACCATGCTTTAGGGATAAGAAGCTTCTCTTTTGTTAGTTGAAGAGATGAATGCTGAACTATTTTACTAAATTTGAATGGATAAATGTGGCATAATGGGTAGGTGGGGGTGGGGATTATAAAAGTTAAATTCTGAAACTTTTGTGGTAATTGTATATTTGTTTATTCTTGGAGAGTATAAGGGTTGGAAACCACATGACTGTTCTTGTTCAAAACAATTTTAGAACACTGTTTATCATTAATAATTTCTAAAGTTGGTTTTGTGCCATAAATCTGTTTTAAGAGATATTTTTTGTTTTTTGTTTTTCTAAGCGTTTAAATCTATTTTGGACTCTTTATTCAATATATATATATATATATATATATATATATATATATATTTTGTCGATTCTAAACAACAAAATTAAGTTTTTTTTATATTGTTTCTGCTTCTGGTTTTTTCTAGAATATAAATAAAAGCATTATTTTATCACTTATAAAATGCAGAATAAATATTAAAAAATAAATAAAACATAATTTTTTTAATATTGAATTAAATAATTTAATTTCATATAAAAAATTAATTTTTTTAAATTAACAAATGTAGGAAACAAGAAGCAAGAAATGATTATAAAAAATATTTATGTTTATTTTTTCACTAAAAAAAAACAAAACAAGAATTGTATCAAGAATGCAATTATGTGTTTATTTATTAAAAAAGAGGAAACACGAAATAAAAAACAGAAATAAGAAATAAAAAATAGAAACATTACCATATAGGTCTTTAAATTAAATGTTCTTTTATTTATTGCGCACTTAAATGTTGTATTTTTAGTTTCTTAATTTTCAAATATTCTATTTTAGTCCCTAACCTTTGAGTAAAAAGTTATTTTAGCAATGGTCATTAATTTTTAGTTTAAGATTTTTTAATGTAAATTTATATTTGTTTTGATGCTTGGTATCTCACCTACTACATGTATCTTCAAGTACTTAGGTAGATGTAAACATATCATGTGCCTATCTTTGATATTTGTAAAATAAATTACGAAATAATAATAATAATAATAATAATAATAATAATAATAATAATAATAATAATAATAATGGTGAGAACTAAAGTAGAGTTTTATCTTGAACTTAAACACGTTTGAAAGTTTAGGCATCGAAATGTAATAAACATAAAAAGTCAAGGACCAAAATAGGGTTAGAAAATTTTTATTCTCATTTTTCCACCTATATAAATTACCTACTTTTATAATTATGTTTTGGTTATGCCAATTAGTTAATTTAATTCAAGGTTTAAATACTCCTTTTGTTCTTGTACTTTCAACTTTGGTTCATTTTGGTCTCATTATTTTCGAAACATTCATTCTGGTCTCTTGATTTTTATTTTTATCTCATTTATTTCTATCAAAATTTTAGCATGACATTTTATTCACTAAATTTCTTGAAATGTAGCAATACATTTATATTAAGGGTTACTTTTGGGTATAAAATATGTGTCAAAATTTTGAAATTAGGGACTATTGAAAGTACGAATATTAAAATGAACAAATATTAAAATGAACAAAAATTGAAAGTATAGGGACCAAAATGGATTTGATACTACAAGGACCAAAATAGTATTTAAACTAACAAAATTTCAAATATACCCTTTTATCTTTTTGTGAACAGGGGCTCCTCAGGATTTTGATTGCCAAAATTGTCTCTTGTTTGAAACAGCACCAATCTTCTCTTGCATACCCAATTGAATTGACAGAATATTAATTAAATGGGCTCCAATTTCCTTATGTGTCATTAATACCTAAAAAAGAATAATTTTTTTTTTCCTTTTTTTGTAGGTGAAACACTTTCTGGATCAGCTGGCATGGGTTTTACTCCACATGTTATCACCATTGGAATAGGAGAAGTATGCTGTTTCCTCCTCTGCCCCTTACCTTTTTTTTTTCCCACACAATTTCTGTCTTTCATTTTCATTAGTCTCATAATTGAGACCCAGTCTGATAACTATTTTATTTTTGTTTCTGTTTTTTAAAATTATACTCCATTTCTCACCATTTGTTTAGGTATGTTTTTTACCTTCCTTAGAAACATATTTAAATCTTTGGCTAAATTCCAAAAACAGGAATAAGTTTTTAAAAACTACTTTTTTTTTAATTTTCTGAATTTGTCTTAGATTTTGAAAACGTTTTTAAAAAGTAGATAACAAAACAATGAAACAAAGTAGATGTAATGTTTCTAGGTTTAATTTTCAAAAAAAAAAAACAAAACAAAAGGGAAAATGGTTATCATAGGAGGCATAATTTATGAAAGAGAATGTCTATCATTTGATTTGAAAAAGTGTTGATTATTTTGTTTTAGTTCCAAAAATATTGAAATGGAAATCAAGAAAAAGGTAGAACTCAATAGCTCAAGATATTTTTCATATTGTGGAAACAGTATTTCCATCCAATGCCATTGATTTCAAAATTTGAGTGGTGGAAATTTCTCAAAAAATAAATGACAATCATGTAGTCAAACTAATATCTACTGTATTGCTTTTTGATTCATTACTGTATGTATGTTTTATGTGAGATTACTATTTTGGGCATTCTTTTTAAATCAATTGAATACCTTCCCTTTGAAACTTTGGTGTTAATTAATCTTAATATTATGCAGGATGTTGCTGCCAAAATTATGTCATTTTCACAACAGGGACCAAGAGTTGTATGCATCTTATCAGCAAATGGTGCGGTCTCGACTGTTACCCTTCGTCAGCCTTCGACTTCTGGAGGCACGGTCACATACGAGGTTTGTCAATTTTTTGGATGTTTCGATCACCTTCTGATACAGTTAAGATAATATTTGACTCAGTTTGAAGGGATAATATCAACTTCACCTTCTTTTGGGAGAAGAGATTACATGTACTGTTCACAAAATTTATAAAACAGATTACTATCTATTCATTATAGTATTAATCAAATACTCGAGCACCTTGACACTTCTACGAGTTTGCTTCTAGAGTTTGTGGGTAAAGTATTTTCCTCGCTTTTGTTTTGTTATTGGGTAGTGTTCATGCACATCTCAACTAATCTTACAGGACATCTTGACTTTTCAACATCATATGGTTGTTTTAAAATTCGGAGGATTTTAGTATCTTGATCACGTGACCCTTGCTTGATGTTGCAAGGTTGAAAATTCTAGGGAATTGGTGGGGTTTTTCTCTCCTTACTTTTAATTCTATCTTATTGCTAGATTAACTTTGACCAGCTTTATAATTTGTTAGATTATATAGAACTGGCTTAACTTCTGTTCTCGATTTGAAGTTGTATCTGAATTTCTTATTGGTTAGGGGCGTTTTGAGATAATATGTCTGTCGGGCTCATATGCACTTGGAGAAAATACTGGTTCCAGGAACCGCACTGGTGGCCTGAGTGTCTCCCTTGCCAGCCCTGATGGTCGGGTTATCGGCGGTGGAGTAGGAGGAGCACTCATCGCAGCGACCCCGGTTCAGGTATCTTCTTCTTCTTGGTTTCGGGAGTTTATTATTGCTTGCCTCTCTCTCACAAACTCTAGTAACTGTCAATTCAAATGATAACTGTTAGATGCTATAATAAAACTGCTGCTGCATATTGAGTCTACAAAACCCTCTGGTTGTGTCGAAAATCGGTGTTTTACAGACGAATGCAACATAAAATCACGCGGGCATTCTTTAAACCCCGAAAAAAACTAATTGGAATGTGAATGTGAATTATATCCAGGTGATAGTAGGGAGCTTCATGTGGGGCAGTTCAAAGATGAAGTACAAGAAGAGGGAAGCTGTCGAAGGTGTCATCGACTCGGATCATCAGACAGTTGACCATGCTGTTGGAATGGCGAGTGTTCCACAGAACCAGAATCTGACTCCAACCTCCTCGGTGAGTATGTGGCCGTCCTCGCAGTCTCTGGACATGCGCAATGCCCACATTGACATCGATCTGATGCGCGGGTGAGAGCTGTTTTGTTAACAAATCTGGTTAGAGTGTACTATGTGAAATCATCTGTAGGTTTTTTAAGTGGGACTGTGTTTGGATTAGTTGACATTCTCTGATTTGTAGTTTCAGTTTAGCCAATGAACATGAATCCAATTCTGGCTTCTTTTTTCAATTCTCTGATTCAAATTTTCATTAGTTTTTATATTTTATTCACCCATTCCCCATTTTATCCTTGGCTGAAGAGGCAAAATATTAATTATAATATTAGACTTATCATGGTTAAGGTTTTAAATACCGGGGTAGATGGAAATCTCAATATGAATATTTTTAGATAAATTATATAAAAAAAAAATTGTTACAAATAAATGTCTCACTTTTTAAATAAGTTAAAAAATATTAATACTGATGTTACGTTTATATTAATGATATTATGTTGATAGTTTTTATCTCATCGAGTTTTTGCAACATTGAAGTTATGAATATATGAAAATGTTTCGTGTAAATTTAATATATATATTGATTATTATCGACTTTGGTTGGCCGTAGAGTGGGTAATTTTTGTGATAAGAAGTGAGTGGAAGTTTTTTCCATGGAAATTCCAGTGAAAATTATGATTAAAAAAAAAGTTTGTTTTGGGAGCATCACAAATTTATAAAAATTGTGAGTAAATTGGTGGAAATTAATTAATTATGGTATATTTTGTTGCAGTGATTGAATTATCAAATGTTGATTCGTTTTAATGTGCAAAAATAAAATTGTCTTTTATTAGTAATTATTTTTAACTGATTGGAGAAGATTGTGTTCTTCCAACACAATTCAATATCAAATTAAGAAAATATTATTTGATAAATAATATGAGAGAACTTGTTAAGATAAAAATAAATAAATGCAAATCATAAAGAAGAAAAATAGCAGCACAACCACGAAAATAATAATAATAATAATCAGAAAACCAAAAAATTTTCCGTTGCCGGGAATCGAACCCGGGTCTCCTGGGTGAAAGCCAGATATCCTAACCGCTGGACGACAACGGAATTGATGAAGGTAAACTGGAAATTTATTTATCTACTTGTTTCATAAATATTATATTCAATTTCTAAAATTGTGTAGGTTTTCTTAAAGCTTGAATTTTAACTCAATTAATGAATTTTTTTTTTCTTTTCAATTTCTTTTTAAGCTTCGCATTCATTCTACTCTCTCAAAAGCATTTTTCTAGCGAAAATAAATATTTTCGCAAGATTTGTGATATATATTATTTAATTTGAATCATGATAATCGTCTACAAAATTGAAACTTGAACCACAAATATTTTTGCTATAGTTGGAAAATTCAAGGAGGTTACCTTCTCCCATTTTGACAATGGGATTTTGCAATATATTTGTTGTGCCAACTTCTTATAGTAACATATTTATTTTGTAGAGCTCATATATTTATGATATATATGTAAAAGTTGGGTCAATAGTTATACAAAAAGTCATTAAAACAATCAAAACTTAATGATATATGTCAAACTATAAATGGATGAAATATGTATTACGTAATAGCATAAATTTTTGCAAATAGAGTATTATCAGTTTTCACACTTGTCAAATTTTTGTATTCTCTGAATTTATTGGCACTCACGCTTTCAATAAAATAAAATCTTTATTTTTCCATGACTAAGCAAACAAGTATTTTTTTGGCTTACCACTTGTATAATATATACAACTCAATTGAAATGTAGTATAGTTTGAATAAAGGAGTTAGCTAATGAGTCGAGATAAATGGGAATTGTGAAATTTCTTTTCCCGTTTTAGTTTTGGAGATGGAGTCGGTGAATGTATTCTTAATCTTTCTAGCCAGATATCCTGACCGCTGAACGACAACGGAATTACTTAAAACCATATTACAAGTAAATCGCTAAATAAAATTCATAAATTATTTTCTTCAATTCTTTGCAATAATAATAACTTCATTTCTTCCTTAGATAATTCAACGAAAAAACTTTGAAACTCTTTAATTTAAGCCCAATTTGATAACTTTTTTTAATCTACATTTTGAAACTCTTTTCAATAAAAATTTGTCTTTGTTTTTGAAATTTGATTAAGAGTTTAAATGTATTTTTCAGAAGAATGAACATTAAAAAAAAAAAACCAAACATGCATAATTAAAAAAAATTAAATGAAATAATTATTAAAGAGGACCTATATGTTTTATGATCATAAACTAGAGTTGATTCAACTACTGAAAATTCAAATGTCAACTTATGTTGATTGAACCATAATATGCATTTTAGGCAAAAACATAACGACATTATTTACCAGCTTCAGAATGTAGCATTACACTGACACTACTTTCCTCACCAACACAACCCAAATTGGAGGAGATAACAAAAACAAATTTACAAGTCTCATCATTTCCAGAAAATCCTGCAATCTTGCCAGAGAAACCAAGCTTGAGAATCCCATTACTACTCTTTCTCAGTTCAAATTACAGCATACTGTCGGTCCTGGCGGGCAGTCTGCGGAAGAAGTTCATCGGTGCTGATGGCATTCGATTCCTGAACTTGGGGTGCCTCATAATGTAGAGACCGCTTAGAAGGAACAGCATCTGGAAAGGCGTTACGTACAGCACGACAGCAGCAATGAAGCAGAAAATAATGTATATGGTTGTTGCACGAGGATCTCGCCAGTTTAAGAGTGCTTGAATCCGTTCCCCTTGAGTAGCCACGTCCCCGACCACGGTTTGGATTCTTCCTGCTATGCTTCTCATCCGATCATACCTCATTCGGACAATGTCTGGGCTTTGCCTCGATGGAAATGTGTCGAACTCTTCATCAAGCTCATCAGGACTCACCGCTTCTGCATAAGAGATTCTCGTGTCCATATGCGGAGGGTACCGAGGGCGGTATCGCCAGTTCCAAATTCCTATCACACACATGTAGAGGAAAACTGTGGGCAAGATCAGCTCAGGGAAACAAACAAGCATCAAAAAGAGAACATGAACCAGCCCTGTAGTAACAGGGTTTCTCCACATGCAAACTTCTCCAAACCATTTTCCCATTGCAAGTAATCCCGATAAAATCGACACAATCCTGTAGAAGTTAGCCTTGCTTCGCCTCATGCTCCAGAGATGGGAGTTCACATCAGACATGTACTCAACTACCTCCTTCCTAAGAGATGGTTCCGCCCTGCTAAGTCGAGCTGCTACAATGTTAACCGCCTGGTGACGCAGCGATTCCTGCTGAGCAACATTCAATGGCCTTATGTAATGCATTTTCGGCAGTAGGGGTCTTGAGTACATACACATCAAATTCATAACCGATGGGCACAAAAATCGCAGGGCAAGGTGCAGTTCACCCATCTTCTTGACACCAGAAGGATGAAGGACAAGCAATGGATATACGTGTGTGTATATGCGACCAGTTTCAAGAGTTGAAATACGGATCCGAACCTTCCCAATTTTCGTGTCCCTGTTACTACTGGATTCACCAATATGGCCATTGTCGAAAAGACCAACAGTTAGGACTGTGTCAGGGTCAAAAACCTCCCAATGGTACTGCTCATTGTACTTCGGATTTGAGTTGTTGATTATTGTTCGAGTTCGAACCCATTTATGACCATACTTCGCCACACAAAAAGTATCAGTTGTACCCTTTCCATTCCTACTTTTCATTGGGTGAAGCCCATCAGCGCCCAGGATGCCAAGCTCCAAGATACCAATTGGTGGCTTCCAAAGTTGCTTCAATGTGGGTCTGAGGTCACTACTATAGTGAGTTGACTCATCGAGCACATGATATCCTCCATCCAGGCAAATGCGGAGATGGAGTCTACTATGGAACTTATCCTTGTCCTTATCCTTCTCTTTCTTCCCCTCCCCTTCTTCCACGGCATCTGACATAGACTTCATAAGGTTGTACCATCGGCTGCGGATAACTCGATCATCAGCACGCCTCTCAACAGTATTCAGTGGTATAACAGCCCTCCCTAGTGTTTCATCCTTGTTGGGACCGACACGGTCTTCAACAGAAAGGATCAAATGATCATCAAAGGGTTCAGCAGCGACAAACATCAGATCTTCATTCCACAAGGCATTCATTGTCCGAGTTTGCACAGTTTTTGTTCTTAAAATTTGGCTACCGATTTGTACCTTCACATAAGCATCTGGGAAACGAGACTTCTCTTCCACAACCAAATCTTGAGCTTCAATGATGTTGACACGAACATACCACAATCTTGGTGAATGATAAACTTTTGAGCGAATATACGCCGGGATGACTGAAGAACCATCGGTAGGAGAGATAGCATCGGAATGCCAGGCATCTGGAAAAGCCTCATCCGCTTGTGTGCCATACCATACAGCAACCATTAGCTCTCCCTTTTTCTTTGATCCACTCTTGTCTTCAAGGCGATACCATTCCGGAGCCAATGGACTATCTGGTGGAACTCGAGTAGGAACTTCATGAAGATCAAACCGCAAACGCCCAACATAATCATCTTTTATTGTATCTTTGTCTTTAAGTGCAATATCCAGTGATGTTGATTGCACGTCCATCTTTGCGAAGGCAAAGACTTCGTTCCATTCAGGACTTTGATTTTTCTCATAATGCTTCGTAGTTCCCCTGAAGTTCCCTAGTTTCACTTCAACATAAGGATCCAAGCCTCCAGTCAAATCCTTGGTGGGAAGATCACGGGCCTTCACAACTCGAACAAAAAGATAATGCATCTTTTCTACAAGGTCATAGGTGCTTGTAGGTCTGTCTCCATGAACGACACGACCTCCAATAACCATCCCACCACCAAGGTGAGGACTTGTCTCTCTAATTGCATAATCATTATATTGAAATGATGACCCTGGGTACGTGTGAGCAGCATTTGCAACATGTAGTTCAGATTGCATACCATATCTTCCATAGTTCACATTCGGCACACTAATTGGTGATGGAGTATGCTGCTGTTCTTGCTGAGGCTGCTTTGCATTGGGAAGGTGATGGAACGTCCTCGATTCAGTATTATCGGTAGAAAATAGACTGGATACAAACTTTGGAACTTTTCGTATTGTTGATTGGTGATCAGATGTGATTGGAGCCAGAGGTTCCCTTTCCACAGAAGATTCCATCACAGGAAGCAAATTCGATAGCTTAATAGAAGGATCATCAGTTACATAGACCTTAAGGCCGAGTTCTCCTTTTATTCGTGAGAAAATGCCTCGTTTTTCCAGCGGATAGTGAAAAACAACAGCGTCAGAGTAAGGGACAAACGAGGTCCCAGTGAGACGAACTTTTCCAAGAAAGGATGACTTGGGGCTGTTGGCTTTGTTGTAGTTAAAGATAAAGGCCTCAAGAATGAGGTTAGACAGATTTTGTGGTTCCGATATGTTAAAGAAGAAGCTTTCGTTCCAAACGGGATTGAGATCCTTCTCCTTGGTCGTAGTACGGACTCTCTGATGGTCAAAGTGAAGCTCTACATAAGCATTGGCTGAGCCCTGTCCATCTTTTGGCATAAGATCATGAGCACCCACTACTTCCACTCCTAGCTTGAGGCTAGTCATTGAATTTTTCCAAACTATCAAAGCACTGATGAACTTCCACGTAGTTGCTTCGAGAATTGGCAAGCAAAATTGTAGTACCTGGGAACAAAAGGAATATTTGCAGCATTACAATAATATCGAAGTAATGTTCTTTTCATTTTTCAGGTTTCCAATAACCAAGTTGAACTGTGGAATCTGGAGAACCAAAAAATTGAATCCACAGAATCCAAAACACGGGTGATTTTGTTAATTTGCAGCCTAACCAAATTAGCGAGCCTTTTTGTTTCCTTTAATTGAAGAACATACAGAAGTGGAAAACGGTGGAAAACAGACATCGACAAAAAAGCTAACCCACTTAGCTAATAAAGGAAAAAGGCAGCAAGGAAAAGCAAGAACAAAGAATAAAGGGATCGCATTATTTTTAGATTCCAAGTGAATCAAACACCCAAATATTAAAGACAGATTAAAGTGAGACCCAGAAGCAGGAAAAGGATATACGGAATCTTCAAAAAAGAAGTAAAAATAAAAAGTTCTACACGGCAAAATATAGCTCAAACGGATAAGTAAAAAGACGAATAAAATCATAAATCTCTTCATCCCGTGTTCGATCTCTTCCATCTCTGCCTCCTCGTTGTCACCTATGTTGAAGAAAGTACCGAGATTCTTGCCCGGCTTTCTTTCGGCTTAAGAAGGCAGCGGTGAGAATGAGGATCACTTCGGAACTCGTTGAGAATGGGCGTTTTAGGACCTTCAACACTAAAGAGATTACCGAGCACCCCCACAAGCAGGGCCTCAACCTAACAAAGTTTCAGTAAACCCAAACCGCCATGAGCAGATACAGACCAAGCATTGCAAAAATTCTCCAAGCATTTTAACAAACACTTGGGGAGCAACATCCTAAACCCAAAAAATAAACACCCAAATCATCCCATTTTCCATCAAGAACTTCTCTACAGTAATCAAACCTACAAATAAGAAGCAGATTCAGAAAGCCGTTTCTCGAGAGAGGTCGGAAGAGGCAGAAATTTCAAAAAAACCCTTGACATACAAAACCAGTTCACAAAAACCGGATTAATCTACACAGAAAAACAAACTAGCTTCATTTCCCAGAAATTTTATTTACCAAACAATCAGAAAGAAAATCACACGATCTGCAAGAGTAGAAGACCAAAATTAAATTAAACAACTCACCTTCCCTCCTGTTGTCAGTTGAAGAAGAAAGGGGGGCCAGAAAAGAGAAAGAAAAAGAGAGAAACGTGAAGATTAAGGCAAAAGTTCGAAGGAGATGAAAGTTGAAATTCAACTTCGACCTTCAAATCTTTGTTTGAAGGAAAGTTCAGAGAAGAGAGAGAGAGTGAAAATGAGTTGAATGGTCTGTGTTCTTTAATACGGAGAAGTGGTTCGTAAATTCGTATTTGTTTTTTTCTTCAGACATGTTTATTCCATTTTTTTAATATAAAAATCATTTATTCGAAAAGTAAAATGACGTGTACACCACCCATTGGCTGAAATGCGTGCTGGATTTTCCTCGCGGCTGCCACACGGACAGAGCAGGAGCGTTACTCCTCTATTTATTTCTATCATCTATATCTATAGTATATATAAAAGGAGCTATAGAGAGAAACTTTTTCTCCTTCTTTTGCCCTTTTAATTTCAACATTCTCATAGATATTTTAAGGATAATTTTATCTTTCAATTATAAAATTTTCTCTCTCACTTCCTATTTCTCTCCCTCCCACGCCACTTTCTCTTTTTTCGTTTCTTTTAAAATATTTAATCTCCATTATTGTTACAAATTTTACATTTCTCAAATTAATTTTCTCTTTCTAATAAACTATCCCTCTTGAAGGTTAGAATATAAAGAGTTAGAATATGGAGGTTTTGTCTCTTTATTTCTATGTTAAAAAGTTATAACTTATTTTGAATTATAATTAATAAGGAATTTCAAAAATTTCGTAACTTCTTATTTTCTACAAATATATAAAGAGTTTTTTCTTACTCTTTCTTCCAACATTTTCTTCATCAAAACTTGAATTTCTTTTCTCTTTCGGTATGTAAATTTTCTCTTTTAGTCCATATCTTGTATTTTCTTATATTTAGTTAGATTGTTTGATCGAATATTCAATTTTTTTAGTTTTTTTTTCAAACGACTCAATCAACTAGAAAAAAAGTGAAAATTAGTGATAAGATCGAATCACCTTGGACGGATCCACTTTGGGATGACACTTGGTAACCGCGATGACTCTCTCAATGACCTTCTCCTTGGTAAGGTGATCATCGTGTGATAATTCATCTGAACATGGCTGCGATTGGCATTCCCGACGAGCTCGGACAAGGAATTGGATCGAAACTCAAACATGGCAAAAAATGGCTGCCCTGAATGCATCTCTATCTCTCACTTTTTTTTTGTCATTTTATTTTTCAATGACTCAAATAAGAAATTGAAACAAGTTGTATTATTTATTGTTATGTTTAGGGAAAAAAAGATGAAAAATCCCTGAATATGTGTTTTTTTTAGAAAAAAATTTAAGTAATTGAAGAATAATACTTTTAGTCACACTAACAACATCAGTGGGTGATGAGAATTATTGAGACGTTGTTTTATGAGATAAACATTGAAAATACGGAAAAACTTGGTGAGGTAAACATTTAGAGATAAAAAACCAAATTATATTATAAATTTTAACTATTTAATTAAATTTTATATTTTTAAACATTGAAATAAAAACTATGAAATTTCACGTGCGGTGCACGTGTTTCTTACTAGTTTATTATAAAGTTCTCTCTTAAATTACACAAATTTGGTCCTAGTATATCTATTTAGTTTAGGTATTAAATTTGGTTAAAAAATATATATATATATTTTGTGTATTTTTTTTAATTATATAGTTTGTGTATTAAATTTTTATCAATATGGTTGACATTTTTATATGTTTGTGGATTTAACGTCGACGTAAGAGGCTAATCGTTGTTTTGATTATATTTTTATAAAATCGACGAAATATAGAAAATATTAACAAAATATTATTAATATAGGTGGTTGGCCAGTGACCTGCTCCCCTCCTCTCCTTCTCCTCTACGTGAAGAGTGTGTGTTTTCTCTTAGTTCTTTGACTAGATTTTTTTAGAGGGTGTTCCTTTCTGCTTTGTCCATTCTTTCCTTGTTTTTTTTTAAAGAAGTAAGTAACATGAATTGAAATATAATAAGGACAGTCTCTTGCTGTTGTGGAAGCGATTTCTGGAGAGAATCCATCGTTCCGATTGGTTTCTATGATGGCGAACGGTGGCTTGGTGTCGGGAATCTTCCCGTTGGATATTGATAGCGTTGTTGCGGCTGACAAAATCAAAGACAACATTGTTATGTATATGGTCTGTGGCTTCGTCATCTATGCATTTTGAAGAGTTATTAAGGACAAAATTGGAGAATGCACCCGCCTGCAATCTTTTGGGATGACTATTCATCTTTGTTGCATCTTGGTTCAGAGAACTTCCATGCTCCGGAGGAAGGAAAGACGAAGCAAAAGGTGGCCAACGACAGCGGTGTGACGGCGATCGGCTCGAACACCATTTTGGAATATGAATAGGCTATCATTCTTCATTGTATTGAGATTAGTGACCAACGTCATTTAAGGAATTTGTATAATCATTCTTTCTCTATCATGGTGGAGAACAAGGCAACTTCAGAGGCAGTTATTTCTCTTCCAATTGTGAATAGGGGTGTCATAATTAACAAGATACCTCAATTAATTGATGACTTTTCCCTGACATCATTAAATGAGGTTGAAATGTTGTGACTTTGGAGAAGGTGTTTGGTAGCCTAAAATTTATTCATATTCCTAGTTACTTGAAAATACAAGTTGTTGCAAGTGTCATTTCTAATGTAACCCTTAGTGGTCTGGTTTATTTTTAATGCAATGCTTGTTTCTTTCACAAAAATAATTTTTAATTAATTAAAAAAGTAAAATACTTATTTGTTAATTGAAATATTATTTTATTTTTTCTACCGTTATGAATTTTTTCATAAATATCTATCATCATCAATATTTTTAGAGAGTAAAATTGATTAGTAATGGAGAAGCGAACTCTCCTACCAGGGAGGAACAAGATTAGGACATTAATTATCGTATTAATTACTATACAGTTCCACATTTTGTCTTGTCCAACTTTTTTCAAAATATTAATAAATACTTGCTAAAAAGGTATTTTTAAAAACGTTTATGAAAAGTAAAGGCCAGTATTCAAATTTTTTTAAAAGATAAAAAGGTATTTTTGAAACAAAATGACAAAGTTAAGGGATTTTTTTTTTTAATAATTTAACCTATGCATATTTGAAATTTTGTTACATGGGAAAATAATTTGAAAATTTAGTAATTTTTCTTTTGGTAGCTCACTAATATACTATTTACATGATAGAGTCTATTATGTATAATTGTGTTGATTGATAAATTTCGGCGAATCATAAATTGTCATATAATAATGATAAAATTATATCATTAAATTGAAACCATTTAAATTTTAAAAAGTGTATTTAATTTAAATTAAAAGATATTAAAAATTTGAAAACCCTCAAGTTAGCCAAAGTCCTAAGGTAGCGAAGGCTCATTTGGTGAGCCAAGTCCAAATAAATCCTATGGAATAGGTTATAATACAGAGTTCATTCACCATCTAATTAATCCTGCATAAGATGAAAATCCTTTGCACACATAGGATCAATATCTCGTTGTCATCTAAAAACCAAGGAGAAGCCAAAGAAGATCTAAAGCAGATTGGCATATCAAAATCAAGAAGCAGCTCATAATGCGGATCAAGATCAACAAAGCAACCATCAGACTAATCAAGATCAACAAAAAGCCAAAAAGTCGATCAAGATCAACAATCAACAAGTAGCGAGAAGGCAAATCAAGATCAACAATCAACAAGCAGTTAAAAGGTCGATCAAGATCAACAAGCAACCAGAGGTCGATTAAGATCAACAAGCAACCAGAGGCCGATCAAGATCAACAATCAACCAGAAGACCGATCAAGATTAACAAATTTCCAGAAGGTGGATCAAGATCAATAAGCAGCCAGAAGGTCGATCAAGATCAACAAGAGCAACAAACAGCCAAAAAGCCAATTAAGATCAATAAACAGGGAGAATGATCAAGATCAATGAGCAGCTAAGAAACCGATCAAGATCAACAAACCAAGAAGCAATCATCCAAGAATTCAAGAGAAAGAATCAGGTGATAAATATTAGAGATTGAATTCACTGTATGAATATCAATAAAAATTATATTTTCACCACGAAATATAGTTTATCTGAAAATCTCATGTGAACAAATTGATTAAGATATTTTCATATAATGGATCTAGTATATCACTAATATATGGGTTTTAGATTTATGTCATTTTTACAAAATATTTGTTAAATGTGACAAATTTTCTATTAGCGCATAAGCTAACGAGTCATATTGATTGAATTAAGAGTTTAGAAACAACATGTGAGGTGGGGATTCAAACTTTTGATCTTTTGATCTAGAATATACGTCTTAACTAATTGAGTCATACCTAGATTGATAGTTTTTAAATTTTTTATTTTATTTCAATTGTTAAACATTATTGATATAATCATGACATGTTTATTAAAAGAATATTGATAATGTCCAATTGAGCTACGTTCAAGTTAAGTTTTTTTTTTAAATATTGTGTAAACTATAAAAAAACCACATAAAATTATAATTTATAATTTATAAGCATTCTTTAAAAAAAAATAAATTAATTTTATATATAAGCGTAACTTTATTGTTTTAATCAAGTAGTTGCCGATCAAAATTGGATAGAGAAATGCAAGTCAATGAAATATAATTTTTAAATAAATCAATTTTAATATAGAAATGATTTGATTATAATAAGAAATATTTTATTGATTAATTAAACTTCAACAAGATAAGCTGTTAATTAGTACGATTTTCAAAAGCCCATGAAAGAGTCCTATTTTTTAGATAAAAGAAAAAGAAATTATCTCTTTTTTTTAAATACAGAAATTAACTTTATTAGGTCATATTAGACGTGATCAATATTCCACCAATGTCTATTTTTTAAAAAACATTTACAAATCTAGATTTATAGGGTTTAAGTAGGTTTTTCTTTTTTTTCCAAGTCACTATCAATAATTATCATTTATTACATATTTTAAAATATATTTTTTGGGATTTTGTGGTTATTTAATGCAAATAAATACATTAATGCTTAAATGAAAATATTTTAATTCACTTATTCTGGCTTAATTTTCGGTTATTTTCTTTGAATTTTCATGTATATTATTTTTTTAGGGTTTAGGATTTAAGATTTAGGGTTTATGATTTTTTATTAAAAATATATAATACGTGTAATTGGATAATTTTCAC